GTTCTTTAAATTGCTCTCATACTTCATAAATAGATTCACCTTCAAACTGACTAAAAGATGTAATATCATTTCTAAGCTTCGCAGTCATTGATGTTGGAAAATATTTAGCAAAGAATTTTTGTACAAAATCACACCAAGTTCTTATAGATCCAGGTGATAACAAATGTAACCATATCTTAGCATTATCCTTTAGTGATAAAGGAAGTAATCTAAGTCTTATAGCATCATCTAATACACCATCATATTTAAATGTAACACATAATTCTAAAAAATTAACAAGATGTAAATTTGGATATTCAATTGGTGCTCCCCCAAACTGATTATTTGATAACATTTGGATAATAACAAGTTTAAGCTCAAATGAATTAGCTACTACAATGGGTTTTTGAATACTACAATGAAGTTCATCCACCGTAGGGTTTGCATAATCTCTTAAAGGTCTAAACTTTTCAATATTTTGATTATTTTGATTTATCATTTCTTGAAATTTTTCTGTAGTTTTTAATTTTAAAATTTTTCTAATAGTTCTTTCTAATTCAAAATTGTAAGATACAAGTGATGCGGAACCTAAAGTACGCATATATTACTATAAAACACAATAACATAAAATAAAATAAAATAAAGAGAAAAATAAAAACACACAAACAAGAACTTTATATATAAAAACGATACTACTACTATTCCTAAAATAAATCTTAAAATTTAAATTAGACTTACAAAAAATTTGTTATCCAAAAATTTCTTTTTGAATTTTTTTTTTGTAAATTACTAATAGTTTTCTCCTTTCCCGGCAACGGCGTCAAAAACTTGATCTCGACTTTCAATCTATGGAGGTGTAAAATGTGATGTATGCAATTATATTTATAATATTTCAGTATGGGATACTATACAAGTATCATCTTATTATAAAGTAATATAGAACTTTCTAATTAAGTCCCGAATGTCGAACCCACAGGAAGGATTAATTTTAGATAACAAAACACTTAATAATATATATTCTTACTCAATTTTAAAATGTTATAAGGGAAATAAAAGCTCGATTCTTTTTGTAATTTTTGATAATTGAAAATAAAGTAAGCAGCTAATTAACTTAACTAAAATACTTACAAGATAAATGTAATATAAGTAAAATATCTTTTTTCCTTATCATGTAGCAGTGATAAACATAGAAACTCAATTATGGAAGTATGCTAAATGTGTTGTGCAAAAAAGGAGCAATAATATTCCTTACCCTTACTAGAGAAGCTATAAAGAACATTGGTTAATCTATAATTTAAATAATCTTGAAGACCGGCATCTTGAAGACCGGCTAGGCAGGGCTAGGCAGGGAAGATACTAGCTCTCACTCTAGAGTTCCCTCTTCTCCATCCACCTAGGAGCTAACATCTCCTATCAAAATTTAAAAATATAAATCAAATTGGGGGCTTTAATTTGTCACATTAAAGTCCTCTAATTCTGCACCCTTGAAAATATATTTTCCTATTTATTTGCACTCAACCCCAAGAACTATATTCTCATTCATGAAATCAATTTATGATTCCAACCATTTGTTGACTGAGACAACACCATCTCGAATCTTACATGTTCTCACAATAGATTCTAACATCTTAATTAGCCAAATCAAAAAGTAAATGAAGTGCAAGGTCTTGAATCATCACAACTTCTTCCAGCAATGAAGTATAATACTTCACATAACTTTTCTTAAACATTTAATTACTTATCATTTTAAGGAAAAAGATAAAGAAAACTACTCAGAATTAATGGAGAAAACACAACCACACATAAGTTTAAGAGTAGAAATCTTGCACAAAAAAAAATCTAAATTAAAAACCAAGTGTAGTCACAAAGACAAACACTTATCTCAAATTCTCACCACCAAATGTCTTGAAGTTCCTTTAAATTCTCTTCCTTGTCTCGCAATACAAACTAACACTCAAAATAAAATAAAATAAAGTAAAGGTGGCCGGCAGCGACGAGCGGCAGTTGTAAATTTGGGTGGTTGGTTGCTGACCTCTTTTTTTGGAAAATCTAAATCTTTTCTTATAAAAATCCAAGGGGAGCCTTGGTGTCTCTTAAAAAAAGTCTCCATTCAATAAATCTTCTAGAAGTTGCCTCCTCAAAAACCAATTGAATGAATTTTTGTCTCCATAGGCTATTTCCCACGTTTTTATCAAGGGTTGCTAAAACACCTCTTCAAAATTCCACACCAATTAATATTTCTTCAAGTAATTAACTTTGGCGATTAAGCGCGAAGTACGTGGTGCTTAGGTGAGGATGCTCTGGCACTTAGGCGCCCTAGTTTATTTTTGCGACTTTCTTCATTTTTGCTCCAAATTTGACCATTTTTCACTTCTTTTAGTATTTTTCATCCATTTGATTGTACCTACAAGAAAAAACACATAAATATCTTTTATTAAAGCGCAATATCTCAAAAATAGGTATAAAAATGTGTACAAAAATACTACATATTTTAAGTATATCAGGTTGTTCACCAATGGATTGTGCATCGGTTGAAGCTGGCAGGCCAGGTAACATGGTTCAAAATGGCTTACAGAGTAGTTCACATGCCACACACAACAACATGCAAGCATTTACACCCGTGTAGACTAGCGCACGTGCATACCCGTAGGACTACGAAACCAAAAATTTTCAAATTTTTTTTGAATTTCTTAAATTCGGCACCCTTTCACTCAATTTATGCCCTATAAATAGGCCGAATTGGGAGGGGAAAAGACAAAATTTTCCTTCTCAATCTAAGGTTTCACTAGGGTCGTTGTTGTCCCTTCCTTCTGGTTGTTTTTTTTCCTTTTCTAGCATGCTATTGAGCTTTTTATGACCAATTATTGTGCCTTCCTTGGCATTTTATTGAGTCTTTTATAACTTTATATTATGCCTTTTTTTATGGAGATTTTCTATGCTTTGGTATGCCAATGACTGGGGTATTCTAACCCCCTGAAAACCAGAGTATGTACCATAATCATGAGGATGCAATATCTTTACTTGTCAAAGTTGCTCTAGATCTTTCCTCAAAAGTGTGGAATATAGAGTTTGCAAAGATAGATTATCTTCATGTAAAGTATAAGAAAATGTATAACGCCAGTGCAAAACAAGTATTTGCATTGTGAAATCAATTAGCAGAGTGCAAGACAAAATTATCCTCCAAGATAATTTTTCTCTTTTTGCAAAGTTGATAATTGATGATACTTAAGAAGAATTTATTGTAATATGAGCTAACCTTAATTAGAATATAGAGAATTTTCTAGTTTTTCAGTGAAGAAATTGGCTATTAAAGTGGAGAACAAAAATTTGTAAACATGGTGTGTATGACAAGAATTCCATTGAGGCTTTTGGAATGAGGTTCATCTAATATACCGTTAGACTATAGCTGACATCTAGGGCACATCTTCCAGGTAGACATCTAAGGATATCAATTCTTGCTTAAAAAGTAGGTGAAACTGACAATGAATTATAGAAGCATATTCCTAATGAGGATGAAGATAATATAATATTTTACCACTTTGTGATTGTTGACTTATTGAAGTTTTTTGTGCCAGTGCATTGGTTTTCGTAGCTTTTCATTTACTTGATGTGAAATTTATATGTAGTAATAGTATATTTGTTTTTACGATTTTCTTTTGTTTAATGTATTTATTACACATTATGATGGTGTACTTGTTTATACATATCTGAGCCTAATTGATGTACGTACATTTCCCATTAATTAAACATCAATAATAATTGAACTGATCAAACTCCATCAGCATTAAATAGTTCAGAACCTAGTTTGTGAACCCAAACAGCTCAGAAATGATAACTCATTGTAATGCAAATATTCTCATGCAAATTAAAATGATGCCCGATCGAGGGAATCTCTTATGGTCGTCTGATGGAAGGATTTATATTTCTTTCTTATTTATAGAGAGGTCTCTTTCTTATTTGTAGAGAGGCCTCCCTATAATTTATAATTATAACCCTGCTTCCTTCATAAAAGGGAATGTAGACCTTGAACCAAAGAATGGACAGAACTTGGAGGAGTTGAGGTCCAGCGTTTTATGTCGAGAATGTCACCCTCTCTTACAGCCAGCAACCATTGTCAATCATCGTTAACTACCGTCAATTAATGTCAACCATTGTCAGCTATCCCATGCTAGTTGTAATGAAATCCCTTTCAGAATCACAATTTGCGCTGAGAAATCCCAATGTATGTTATGTTGTAGCATAATGAAGTACCCAATGAAATCATCATCCTAAATATTGTGATGCGACACACCACAAAATGATGTACTGAAGTTGCAACAATTGCCCCCAACAGCAATCAAATACCTTACCATAAGAAATGTGTAGTTTTTTTCAACACGTGTAATTTTGTTTCTTTCTGAATTTTTCATGTAAAAACAACCGACGTCTCTACGAATCACTTAATATGGCAGTGTGTGAGGAATTTTCACGTAATAGTGAGGCGACAATTAATCACTCTACCATCACGAATTCTCTAGCAAATATTAAATATCATGTTCTTCAATTCTAAAGAGAACAATAATAATAAAGTTAAGACAATAAAAAATACAATAGGGATATCTTTCTTAGATGTTGTAATTAGTTCAGCACTTTTTTAAAATAATTTTAAGTGAAATGGATACACATATGTGCAATATCAATAATGAAACCGTGCCAATGAAGCAAGATTTCACCCTTCTAAAATTTAATTTTAATAGTTTTTTTTACTATTAAATAGTATTTTAAGAGTGATTATTTTAAAATGCTCTTTTTTATATTAAATTTGTCTTTCGATATTTAATATAAAGAGTGGGTGGTAAATGTTAACAAGTACTTTTGATTCATCCCACACACGATATTACACACAGTATTACTGTTTTATTTATTAAACATAAATAATATTCTTTGTTTAGATAATCACAATAAACAAAAACTAAAACACTGCAAGTGCAGCCCATATTAAATGGGGATGATGAGAGAGAGAGAGCGTTGAAACACATCACCGTCACAATTATGAGGGCATGGGACCATCTTGCAGGTCGGGAGAGGGGTGAAACATGCCCCTGTCAGTTGTTATGCACTTCTGCACCGCCCTAATCTCCCATCTCATCACCCTTCTCTTCTCCTTCTCAAGCAAAGGAGAACCCAAAGCCCCTCTTTCCTCCGTCCTCTTAATCAAACCTGAAACTTTGCTCACCTCCGAAGCCCACCTATTTTTTTGCTTTTCATGCTAGTCTTCATTTTCTCTCTCTCGCGTAAGTAAAAGCCATAAAAATTTCTTCTTTTGATGAGATTTGTTGCCGCCTGCTCCTTATCAGTGAAATTAAAGTTCCCAACCCGAAGCTTTCTTTACTAGCAGGTCGTTGGACGGGCGACACGCCTCTCCTTCGCTTCTCCCTATTCCATCGTTTCCTTTTCTTGGCCGGTGCATTTATCTGTGTTGGGAAACGAGACAGCCATCAATACATAATCTTTGGGATTAATGGACTTCAGAAGCAACCATGACGATGGACCGCTCATTAGTCCCGTCTCTCTCGACCATTCCCCTCCTCCAATCCGCGCCTCCGCCTTCTCTAAACCATCTTCTTCCTCCCACAACCGTTTCCTCCTCTCTCCTACTTCGACGCGTGCCGCTACATCGAAGTATCGAGAATGCTTGAAGAACCATGCCGCCAGCATCGGCGGCCACGTTCTCGACGGCTGTGGCGAGTTCATGCCCAACGAAGACGACAACTTAAAATGCGCCGCTTGCGCTTGCCACCGCAGTTTCCACCGTAAGGCCTCTGCTAATTTGCCTTTAATTCTCCCACCGCCTCCGCTGCATAATTACCGTCACAATCAAAAGCATTTCGGGTTCCAGCCCAGTCTAAGTGGTGGTACGACTACCGATTCTTCTAGCGAGGAGCAGATGGACGTCGCCGACATTGCAGCGACAGTGGCACAGCCCACTCGTATTGTGCTGGCGGCGTCAAGGAAGCGGTTTAGGACAACGTTTACGGCGGAGCAGAAGGAGAAGATGCTGGATTTTGCGGAAAGAGTTGGTTGGAGACTACAGAAGCAGTATGAGAATGCCATTGATGAGTTTTGTAACGAGATTGGAGTTCGCAGAAAAGTTTTCAAGGTATGGATGCATAACAACAAGCACTCTATAAGAAAACAGCAGCTGCTGATACAGAACCAGCCGCATGAAGAGCTTGAGCACCTTAGTCTTCAGCAACGGGAGCAGTAGACGTTGATGATGAAGGTAATGAGAGAGATAATGAAAATAGTTTTAGTGGAACAAATGTAAAATTTGACTTGTTTTATGCGTGTTTTTTTTATTTTTTTTTGGCCATTGGCTAGCTCATCAGGGTTTGATTCCTGACATCAAAGTTGTTGCTTTTATTAGTTTTCAGCCACTATTAGGCGATGATATCTTGTTCTCTCCCATCTTTTTCTCTTGCTTTATGAATATGCATTGGTTTCTGAGGCTAAGCATTAGCATGGCTGCTTTCTTTGGACCAAGATGAAATATTATTGTTGCTCATCCATTCTCTTTCTGTGAACATTGGAGCAGCTAAGTTGAGAAAATTAATCCATTTGTCCTTTGAAACACCAGGCTAGCAACCGGGTAAAGTGGGCTGCTTTTTGGTGTTCTTCTATCCTCTTTCAAGGAAAGGACCACCTTAAAGATCCCATGCATTGTTCATTTTGTTTCGTATTGTTGATATGTTTGTTTCCTTGTGATGTATGCTATTGTAATAGGTTTTCTTACAATTAGCGAGTTTGTACACTAAATTGGATTTGAGTTGCAACACACTTTATTTATAAAGAAAGTAGTTTTTAAGCAGGTAAAGTAAACAGCTTTCTGTGTTCTGATGAGTTTCAAGGACTCCATTAATCATCCCGTGCGTAGTTGATCTGGGAGCTCCGTTTTGTTTAGCGATAGCGTTGATGATATGATATGAGCAAAGCAGTCATTGCAGATGATTGGAGTAACGCCAATTAATGCTCTGTGCTTTGCTGCGACATGCCTTTTTTTATATTTTATTGGTGAAATACTGAAATTGGTGATAATAAGAATTTTATAATACATAAGATGAGATTGAATTACAAAAAATGTATGAATTAGTCAAATAAATAGATAAAGAAATAAAGATTTAATTCAAGTTTAATGTATTTAGAACTAAAATAAAAAAAAATATATTTATTTTAGATGATGATATTCAACATTGTTAGGAGTGTTGAATTCAAATCTGTCCGGGAGATAACACCTAAATAATAGGGCACCGAGAGACAGGAGAGAGAGAGATTAGGGCAATAGCACAACAATGAACAATAAATTTGTGTAATCTTTAGTCATGATACAGACTCCCTATTTATAGGAATGATTCATTGTATAATTACATATTGCGTCCTTATGGTATGTAGCATGTCGGGGCATTTCAGTCCATACATAAAAATAACCAATGAGGATATGGATTTTGCGGGGCGGCCCTTGACCGGAGACAGCATAGTCCGGAGGTCGTCAGACCAGTCGGCTATGAAGCTATGTGGTTGTGGCCCTGTGAGACCATCAAGTCAGGCGATCACAAGGCAAGGCTATGATAAGGTCATGTCGCTATGAGGTATGACGGTCCGTTAGACTGGGCAATCGTGAGGTCAGGAGGCCATTTGTTTGAACAGCTGCGAGGATTACTAACAACATGTTGAAAGTTCACACCACCATTATAAAATTGGAGGATCTATTTCTCTTTCTCGATCTATATGGGTTGAAAAGAGACAGGCTCATCGGAGTGTGTTGATCAACTAAGCATATAATCCCGGGTTGTCCTTGGTAGGCTCCACGGGGCCACGTTACCTCCTTTGTCGTTCATTAGGTGTCTTGTGGTTCGTACTGACACATTTTCGATGTACATATTAAAATTTCTCGACTCTCTTGCTCCTTGATAACGACAATTACGATAAGGACGAGAATCTAGATTTTCAGACAAGTTTATGGTATTCTTGACTATTTAATGTGCAACAATTAATCACCTTTTAATTTCCATGCCAAAGTTACTATCTATGTGATGTGCATCCTAGAATTTTTTGTTTAGGGCTTATATTCGCATGACACAGTCATGCAAATGGTCGGGAGAATAGGAGGTTTTATGTCATAATGAACGACAACCTCGGAGTCTAAAGCAAGTTAGGGCTTAGATTACACAACATGGTTGTGCAAAGATCTAAAGATAATTGAGTATTTACGTCGTGTTAGACGAGACGAGCTACCTCGTAGTCCTATGACTTGTTATTTAATTCTAGGGAAATTTTATTTGGTGTAGATTGCTTTTACTATTATAGATCATCATCCTCTGTCTGCTTCAGCTTGCTCCGAGCTCCCTGTTGACAGCTGCTCCAGGTTTAGTATTTTATATCTTAAATTTTTCTTTTGATTATTGTTAATCCAATTAATTGAAAGGTATGTGTTTGGGTTTTCCATGAGCTAATCATCCTAATCAGACTAAAAATACTGACAATCTAAGAGTGTAATGAGCAATTTCTTACCACGGGTTGGTGAATAATATCGTCAATCCTATCCTCTTCCCTGAAGGATCCTTGGCGTAATAGATAATATTCCCAAAATCCCACTTTGTATCTCTCATTTTGCACACATAGCAACGTCGTTATTGCCCTTATCACCTAAACCTCAGACTTACACTAGTCTAATGATCCATAAGTGGTCATAACAAATATCTCTAGTTGCTCAAAAAGGGTTTAGACACTTTATCCAAAGCCCATATCCTTGAGCATTAGGTTTTCAATATAGGATAAGTAGTGTCAGGGTATTCTCAACTTATTTGTGAATTATCTGGCCCTGAGCCATAACTTGGTGGGTCCTTAGGAATTTCATGTTGATTTAGTTATATTTTGGATACGGTCTTTTAATCAAATCGTAACAGACTTAGAGGTCCTCCAAAGCATCCCATAATCTTCTAAGAATGTCCACAAGGCATTCTAAACAAACTTAGAATCTTCTAGATCACTTTAAGTTCATCCTGGTCTTGCTAAATTGTCAATTAGATCATTAGATCATTCAATTTTAATTAATGTCTTTAAGTTGTGCTTAGTGTATGTATTAATTAAACTATGCGCAGGCTAAGGGGTTACTGTCTTATTTTGTTTGAGGTTTTTGATGGGTGGTCACCCCAAGGATGGACCCAATCATTTAAGTGTGCTCGTAGTGTTTAACATAATTTTTTTTTCTTTTCTAATCTTTTAAATATCTTTAGATCAATCCCAACTCACTACCAAGCTCCTAGATCTCTTATGGGTTTTAAAAAGTTGAGTAAGATTTAATTCTTATTAAATAATTAAATTAGGCTTAAACATTGATCTAGGGCTTTAGAATAGGTATTTATTGTCTTTCCATCTCATGTTCCATCACATTAGAATCATCCAATGTATTTATTCTCAAAATTACAATAATTTGATTAATTATAATTTTACCCTTTTATATAGAATAGTGTGAATTGGTTTCTACCTCTTATCCCATTATGTTTGAATCATTCTAGGGGATTAATTATGATAAATTTTAAACTTTCACCCTTAGTTCAACCAAAAATTTTAATTAAGGCTCGAAATTCCATAATTACCACTTTACTACTCGGACTCTTTACCTTATAACTCTTTCAATTTAATTCAAGTAGCTTTGGAACCTTGCTGGGTTGCTACTCATGGGTTAATTAATACACCAGAGAAGACTTCGTACATTTCTAATTTTTATTTTATTTATTGGAATTATTTTAGTTCAAAAAAAGGGATTTTCAAAGTTAATTCATTTACTTAATTAAAATACACCCTCTGTTATTAAAAAAAATATTGAAGGTTCACATGGTTTAGAGGGCCATTCAATCCAATTTTCATGATTTTTTGAAGTAATTTCTTTATTAAAATTTTTTATTGGTTTTAATGAATAAATAGATAGAAAAAAAATTGATTTTAAAAGTTGTCTTTTATATTTTTCGGCAACAATTTCTGTGGTTTTAGAGAACCTAGAGAAATTAATTTTTTTTTCTGATTTTTATTCTATTTTTTATAATTTTTAAAGTAAAAATATAGGAAAATACATCTAATTATTTAAAATACATTTTTATAATCCCAAAAAATTTTGGAAGTTTTAAGGTTGTTTTCTTCAATTATGAAGTGATTTATAACATTTTTACACATTTTTTTGACTTCAACTTTATTTTAAAAATAGGCTAAAAATAATTTTTTTTTTCTTTTGACTTCAATTTTATTTTTCTTGGATAGCTCTGGCCTTAAAGGAACTCCACAAATTTTTTTTTGTGATTTTCTAGATTTTATTTTATATTCTAAATTATTTTAAGCAACAATACTTATTTACTTAGAGAATACATTTTTACATTAAAAATAATTTTTTTGGCTTTACAATTTTTATAAGGTATTCCTAAAATCATTTTCTTCAATTTTTATTATTTTGGTGATTTTTTGGGTTCTTTTGCATTTTTCTTATTTTTAGTATTTTTCTTAATTTTAAAATACAAAAATAGGTTTTAAATTTTTAAATATTGATTTTTAATTTTCTTAAGTTCCTGTGACAGTAAACTTTCCAAACCAATTTTTGTAATTTTTTTATTTATATTTTATTTTTTAAAATTATTTTAAGCAAAATAAAGTTGTTTATTTTGAAAATAGGGTTTCAATGTTTGAGGTGTCGTCTGACTTTGGAAAAATTGAAGAACATCCCTAAACATGTGAGGAATGAACCCTCCAAATTTTATTTTTTTGTGATTAACATTTAATTATTTATGATTTAAAGGAGTTTTTGTAGTATTTAATTAATTTAAAAATAAATATTAGGAAAACACTTTTTATTTTAGTCCACATTGTTTTCGTCTGTTCACTGAGCACAGGAGTATTTTTTTATATTTATTATTTTTATACACCAAGTTATGGGTTTTTAGAGTTTTTATAATTTTTTAAATCAGAAAAATACATTTTTATCTACTTATCCACGTCGGTGTCGCGTCATCCTTATACACGCCGAATGCACCACGATTCATGTTTTGATTCATCGACGCCATCAACGTCAATGCCTCGTCATCCCGCCATTCACCAACCTTTCCTTCGTTCAATGTCCGCTCCACCATCTGATCGATACAAGCCCGAATTAACAGTTTTCGTTCATCATCCTCGATAGACTCGACCTGAGAGTCGTTCAAATTCTAAACCTAATATCGCAATTGATTCTCAACCAAATTACATGGGATTTGTTCCTATAGCTTCATCTAGGTGAGATAAATCTATCTATAAAGTTACATGCGTATGAAATTAAGATCTACTTCAAAATTGATGAAATCAGAAGAAAAATGAAAAGTTTTGATGTATACCTTGGTCCAAGAGGTTTGGCATCAATCAGATGGTTATAGAAGCTTTGTTGGAGTCCCACGAATGTCCTTCAAGCGTTGGATCAATCTGCACTAGGGTTCAAGTATTAGTTCGACCAACAGGTGGTTCACCCTTTATCTAGCTCTAGTGCAGACTGCTCAGGATGATGGGGCTTTTATGTGGAATGATGTTTAAGAGTATGGGAAAGATTTTAGGCAACTCAATTTGGAGTTTGGATGTGGTTTATCACATGGCTAGCTTTGGTCCCAAGGTGGTGTGTATCAATGACTAAGGAGAGTGGGCTTAGGCTTATGGCACTGTAGGAAGCCTTGGAGGCAAATTGAGGGAAGTTTGCTCAGCACATTTTCATCTTCTTTTTCAGGACAGGGGGGGGGGGGGGTGATTTATAGAGG